TCTCTCTCTCTCTCTCTCTCTCTCTCTCTCTCTCTCTCTCTCTCTCTCTCTCCCCCCCCTCTTTTTCCCTCCCTCCCTCTTCTCTCCTCTTACTTCTCTACTCTTTTCTCCACCCAACCTACCCAATCTTTCTGCCTTTTTCCTTCCTCCCGGTCTCTTTCTCAGAATTGTTCACTAGATCTCAATGACTAATCACTTCCTGCAGCCCCTACCCCCATTCTAGACTGTCACCCCCTCCCAATCCCCTGCCAGCCTCATGAATATTTAAGTATCTCCAATCTGGACCCAATTACCCACCTACTTTCCTACTGCAATGGGAGGAAGATAGGGTGGGGACAGAGAAGCATATTCCAGCCAGTTCAGGGGATTATATAGAATGAGTTTAAGGGAAGAAGTGCCTGAAGAATGCTTATAATCCTTCCCTATTCTTTCCCCAATACCGTAAAAGCAAAGAACAGCCATTCAGAGCTATCCAAGTCATATCTGCCATTTAGATTTGCTACACAGTTGATAATTATAGGAATTCAATCCTCTCAAAAAATACCATATATAATATATAATGTATGTATTATATGTAATTCTAAGTATACATATATAACCTCAAATAAAGACATACAAGCAATCAGCTTAGATATACACCAATGTAGTCATATAAATTCTAACATCCTAAGGAATTTCTGCATGAATATGCAGCATTAAAACATTTGAATATATAGCATTTAAACATTGAGTTTAGAAACAATAACTAATATTTAGGACCTAGCATTCATATCTAACCTCACATGGTAGTTTCTTTTATAGCAAGTAGGTACATATACCTACTTCAAAATCATGAAGTTCTACTTTTACTGAAAAAGATGAATGACCAGTCTTTGGAATATTGATAATGATATTTTATAGTGTGGGCAAGATGCATAAAAGTAAACTGATAAGAAAAAGAGGTATACCATAAAGTCATGTTCAATCCAGTCTACGGTCTTGCATAATACAGGAGAGGGGAACATGTGTTCTAAGAAGTGCTTAGAACACAAGATTTAGATATTTGGCATTATCTGAACTTAAAAAGCTCTTTCCACCTAGTTTTCTCACATGGAAAATAGGGATGGTAACTTCAGCCTTGCCAGTATGTTGCAGGATTAAATAATATACTACATGTAAAACAGAACATAGCCACCTTCAACTTGACCCCTAAACTGCCCTTTCCTGACACTTTGGTGAGGCTCTAAGTGTTTATTTGAAAGCTCTTTTCAAGCTATTTCCTCTTGTTCATGAGCAATGACAAGCACCTTGAGCTACACAGCTCATCTCCTTTCCAGGTCCTCCTAGACATAAACCTGTTCAGCAGGTGCTAGCTGGACAGCTTGGCATGGTGCATATTTCAGGAGCACTGAGCACAGTAATGCAGAGGCTACCCCTCTCAGAATGGATTCAGAAAACTTATACCTAATGATTATAAATGATCCCTAAAAGCCTTCTCAAGAATAATCAGCTTTAAATTCAAACTACTGGGTCTCTTCTCAGAGTGCTTTTAAATTTTCAGATTTTTAAAGAAAAACAAAAAATAGACCCTGAGTTAAACATCACTTTTGTGATAAACCTTGTCAGAGCTGAACCTTCAAAAACAGCCTTCTATGAATTGGACAGAAGAGGACAAGGATGGATTATAAATGGTTCCTATCAGAGAAACTGCTGTTGTAGAATAAGATTACCCTGCTAGCACCTAGATAGGGATGAAGGGAAGAAGCACACAGGCTGAGAACTGAGGGGGAAGAAGAAATTGCTTCTTTTGGTGTTTAAACGGGCTTACAGTCTACTGATAAGATCATTTCATTAACTGCACGGCCAAGCTTAAGGTAAAGGGTGGGGCCAACATTTTCCTTTATTGTAGTCAACCTCAGCGCTTCCACTTAGGCTTTCTTTTATTGGTTGGAAGGAACCTTGGAAACAGGGCTGCATCATGAAGTTTGAGAAACTAGGGCCGAAAACCAGTCACAGCACTAAGGAACTTTGAGACTTAATGTTAGATCATTCATCTGGGCCTAGGCTTCCTCATGAGTTTACATACATTATTTCAGCCATTCATCAGTAACATAGGTGAAAACATTAATTCCACCATGAGAGGATCACTAAGACTAAGAGAAGTTCAGTGCCTTAAACTAGGTAACAAAGCTTATAAGAAGTAAGGCTGGAGCTGTGAAACCTTTTCAACCACTAGGCTAGATGACCACTTGACAAGCCTTTATACTGCACTTTGTTACTTCTGACGCTTGAAAGATTAAAATGCATAGCAAATTTTATTGTGTTGACATAAAATTGGTGTTCTGTAAGGTTCATCTGTTTGGCCCAACCTTTACCTTGACAGGCACAGAAAAAAAATAGATACCTTCATTCGTATATCTTTAGTCAAATGCCAGTTGCCAGTTGGGTACGGTAAAGCATGTCTGTAATTCCAGCACTCAGAAAGCTGAAGCAAGAGGATCACTGTGAGTTCAAGGGCAGCATGGGCTACAAAGTGAGCTCAGGGGCAGCCTGAGTGAAACCCTGTGTAGTGAAACCCTGTCTCAAAAAGATATATAAATCTATATCTATATCTATATCTATATCTATATCTATATCTATATCTATATCTATATCTCCAGTTGCTCAGGTGCTTCAGTACGTGGAATCCTCACAAGTTTGATGCATTTACCCAGAAATACTATGCATTGTGAGTGAGTCTGTAAATATTACTTCCCAAGGAGAGAACCTCAAGATTCCAACCTGAGTTTGAATAATACAGAATTGATTCCAATGCACTTTCTTTTCTCTAAGTTAAGCAGGTTATATCGGAGAGCTAAAGAATAATATGCTATATATCTACATATCTATATATCTACATATGCATAAAAAAGATATATAGATATATAGATATATATGACATATATATACACACACTATATAATGTATATATAAACATGGGTGTATACATTGCATATTTATTCTTTACATATATACATGTCACTTATAAGCATGTATACACAGATATGTAGAATGTATGTACATAAATATATGTGCCTTTATATATTTCATTTTTGTATTGCATATATATGTGCATTCAAATGCATATATGTGTGTATATATGCATAAATAAAAAAATAAAATAGCCATGGATGTCTTCATCCCTACCCAGCAATTATCTAAAATGTACACTAATTTATATACCCTTAACACCAGTCCTAGAAATGCTTAGTCTTAAGCTTCATGAATGAGCTTATAAAGTTTTAATTTAGAAGAATAATCTTTCAGACAATCAGTTAATTTCCTGCTCATATAATTATGGCATTCCCCAAAAAGAGCAAAAGTGGTGAAACCCAGGCTCTAGTTCCACTCAGATCTGTTTGAAATTCATACCACAGTGATACTTCCTTAGGAATAATCCCAGGACTCACTGGGTTTTCTCAGGAATTTAGGCAAGCAGGCAACTACTTTAGAAACGAGGCCAGTCCTTGAGGAAATAGAGTCAATTGTGGTTGTAGAAAATATTATTCTTGTTTCTTTTCTATTTTTCCTCTTAGTCTCATATTTCTATAGGATGTATTCATTTAGTAGGGCATCCTTAATAAAGAATTACATGGGTTAAGAAACAAAGATTTAGCTTCTTTCAGTCCTAGAGACTGGAAATCTAAGTCAAAGGTGGTATCCAATTTGGTTTTTTCTGAAAGCCATACGGGCAATGGTTGTCCTGTATCTTTCCTGAACTTGCGCCTGGTCAGCCTCTTCACTGGTGTAGTCATCTCTCTGCATGTGCATCTCTGGTGCCTGTCTTTGTACATTCAAAGCTTCTCCTCTTATTGGGATACTAGTGGCAGCAAATTAGGCCCTCAAGCCTCATTTAATCTTAATTATCTCTATAAAGATTCTATCCTTAAACACAGTCACACTCTGAGGTGTTGTGTGGTAAAGTTTTAAATATGTTGTGCATGGGGGGCAACACAATTTAGCCAGTAACTCCTGCCACCTCTGTGAGCACTTGCTGGCTTCACTTATGTATTCAAAATTTCACTTATGTATTCAAAAATCATCCTACCCTCAAGGAGATACACACTAATGTTTAAAGCAAAACTAATCTTCTTGAACAACATGTGATTGAGTGTTAAGTGTGTTCTATTAAAATTCAGAGTGGGAGATAAAATGGAAGCCAGAAGACTTCAAAAAGCTATGGTAGCTAGGGATATAGCTTAGTGGCATAGTGCCTGCCTGGCAAGCACAAGATCCTAAGTTCGATTCCCAGTACTCCCCAGGCCCCCTGCCAAAAAACAAAAACAGATTCAGATTCAGTATAGGCTTTTAATTTCATGATTAAAATTGGAGCAAGCAATGAAGACACAGTGAGTTTTGAAGATAAAGAGGACCCCATTAGAAACCTTTAAATGCACAAATAATCTAGTAGCTATTATAAAGGATGTTATCAAAAGACAAAAGACACAGGGAACATCCATTGCCCTTCAAGACAAACTTTGAAGGGGGAGAGGTTGATTCCAGATTAAGAAATACCTTTAAGATTCAGGAAAATGAAATCCTGATATTGGCAACAATATGGATAGAACTGGAAATCATTTTTGTCATGAGAAAAGAAGTAAGCCTGGCACAAGAAAGCAAACACTGCATTATCTCATGCATATATAGAATCTAAAAGTATTGGTTTCAGTGAAGATGAGAACAGAATGGTGATCACACACACACACACACACACACACACACACACACACGAAGAAACAATCATCCCTACTAAATGGGGATTACCAGAGACCAGGAAGAATGAAGGGTTATCCACTGGCAGCAAGGTACAAGTAGATGGTCACAAGAAGTGAAATCCAGGGCCCTATTGCACAGAGGTGACTCTATATAATGACAACATACT